ACCTCCTATCTCTATCTCTATTTCTATACAAACACACCGCAGCTGTGCCCGTGGGCATGGTGCACACACCCCACACACCCAGCCATCTACATCACACACCCCGTAGACAAAAGACACAACCTCCTCAACACACACACCCGCCCTCCCGCACACATCACACCCACACACACTGACCGCCCCAGCGCCACACCACACCTACCCTCACCTTCCACCGCACACTCCCAGCTCCCTCCACCTCCTGAATACATATTCTCACCTCCCCCCTTCTCCCCGTCCCCCCGCCCCCCCCCCCACACACACACACTCCTTAATACACACTCTCACACCCTCAGCCTGCCTTCCTCCAGAAATGAGCCAAGCAGTGGTGGGGAAGTTGCGAGGCGCTGGGGGCAGCCTGTTCTGGGGGGTGAGAAAGAGGGAGGCTCAGTGCACTCACTCCTTTGGTGGTGAGAGCTCCGGGGCTCCAGCCTACCGATTTAGCTCAGCAAGAGAAGGGGAGAGGGAGGAGAGGTGGGGGGTACAAGGGAGGAAGGAAAGGAGGAGCTGGTGGTGTCAAGGTGCGTGGCTGGTGCCGTGGCAGCGAATGAGCTATGGAAATACTAGGAGATACTAATCAGGCTGAGTGGTCAGAGGGTAAACTGGGAACTCCCGGGGACCCAGTGCTTTTGGCCAGAAGGAAGAGGAAACAAAAGGGGCAGGGGGGTGAGGGAGCAGTGGGGAGGCAGCTGATTTATGCCTGCACTTCAGCAAACGCTTTCACTGCCATTAGCATCTCGGAAGCGGAGGGCATGAGATAGAGGGGAGCATGTGGGACCTGTGGATTAACCTCACGGGGACCTGCGTGTCCTGCCCTGTGGGGGTGGGGGGTGCAGTGGCTGGAGAGGCGTTGGAACGAAGTTCGAATCCAGTGTGCCGCTAAGCTAACAGCGAGGAGCCAGGCCTGCTAGAGGATGTCAGACTTCTGCCAAAAAGCCCAGAGGGGCTCCCCTGGCTCCCTCTGGCTCCCTGTGGCTCTGTCTGGCTCACCAAAATGCACAGGTCAGGGAGAAAATTCCCCAGGCTCCCAGGGGCATCTGGCTGAGTGCAGGCCCCCAGGGGGCAGGAGGGGGCGCCTCAGCCCCAAATTCAAAAGGGTGGGGTGCACGGATTCCCTCCCGCTTCCCGAAACTGCTCTTCCTTTTTATTAGTCCAATTATGGAATGTAAAATTTTCCTTAAAAAAAAAAATCCCGAATAACAGAAAAGCACAGAGTGCGCTTGTTTGGTTTCATTTTGCCTCCAAGCTTTAAGGACTCCTTTTGTGGAAGCTGTTTAGGAAACGGGTGAGGAGGAGGAGTGCCAGCTCAGGCCTCCGCTGTCCGCTTCCTCCTCTCTTCCCCTTGGGGGCCACCCAGCCTAGGCAGCAGTTTCTCTTCACTCCCCAGCCCCAACCCAGCCCCAGCCCCAGCCCCGGCCCAGCCGGCAAGGTCCATGTCCCAACCTCTGACCAACCTCTCCCCCCTTTCCTACAGGCCTGGGTGGGCTCCAGGGTCTCCCTGCGACCCCAACCCCAGCACTGAGGTAAAAAAGACCATATGTTTAGCCACAGGCCCTGGGCGAGGCCCTGGGAGGGCCCAAGCCTGGCCATTCAGAATCACCATCAACCTTGCTCTCTCTAAGCAATGGAATGGAGGTGGTTGGGGGGGGGGGGGGGGGAGTCACACCTCATTTTAGGTCTAACAGCCAGAAGCAAGGTCAAGTACCTTCAGTTCAGGAGAAACTCAACAAGGAAGTGGGGTGGGGGGGAAGGATGGGCCCAAGGGCAGGCTGGGGGAACTGCTGAGAAGACAGGTGCTGGGGGGCCAGGGGTGGAGCTGTTTTTGGGCACATGCCTGGTCTCAGGGCCTCACCTTTGGTCCTGCCTTCTTCCACCTCTCCAGGGTCCATGCCCCCAACCCCTGTCTTTCCCCCCCTCCTGCTACCAGTCAACCTTCTCTTGGGTGAGACCTGGATTTCAGAATCTCAGTCCCAGGCCCCCGGTGGCTGATCCGCTGCACAGGTGGCGTGAAGGAGCCAGGAGGACTGAGTTCCGATGCCAGCCCTCTCCCTGAGCCCCAGAGCAGCCCTCTGGGCAGGCCGGGGCCTGTCCCAAAGCTTCAGTAGTTAAATACGTGGGCTGGAAGAGGGGGAATGGTTTTGTCCTACAGAAATTCCCAGCGTGGGGTGGGAAGAGAAGAGAGGAGAGAAAGACTGCATCCCAAATTCCTCCCTGCTTCATTTTAATGAGGAACCCATTAAGACATTCTTGATTTTCCATTTGTCTAAGCGAGATAGGTGTTTTCCACAGTGAGAGAGAGGCAAGGCCGACACCCCCCACCACCACCACCATCCCCCCTACACACACACACACAGCAGAGACGCTAGGAAAACCCTGACTTTAATTGCACCTTAAAAAGAAAGACGTGTTATCATGACACCTCACCTCGCTTCCTCCTCAAGCATCCCAGCCAGAGGCCAGGGAAAGGCTCATTAAAAGCTTCGGGAAAGGCCGAGGGGTGGGGTGGGAAGAGACTCCGGGAGCCAACCCAAGCTTTGAAGTGGCCTCTCCTGCTCGGTCATTTGCTGGCACCTCTTCCTAAAGGTCTGGGGCTTTAGGTTCCAGGTTTGGTTTCTGTTTCAAACTTAAGGAAATTCTCATACTTCCTGGGCTGGGGTTGGGGGACAGGAGGTGTCCCCGCTGTGGGGACAGCCTTCTCTCTGCCTCAGCTTGACCTCAGGTTCCTGGTGGAGACATGGGTGGGGCCACCCGGAAGAGCCCAATGGAGCCCTGAATCCGCCTGGCTACTGGGCAGGCGCTCTGCACACAAGTCTGCGACGTGGCTCTGTGGGCAGGCAAAGGCACGGTTTGAAGAAAGCCAACAACACTCCTGCCTTGGTTCTCCTTGTCGGTGAAATGGGACGCATGAGGGCCTCACGGGAAAGACCCAAAGCACATGGTGAAAGATGCTCTGGGCCGGAGGAGGAGGGGGGGGGGGGCACAGGCTCCCTCCCGAAGGCAGGTTTTTGAGGATGGCACATTCTGGGCAGAGGAAAGGCTGCACGCCAACCCCACCAGTTGGCCCTCGTCCAGGATGGTGGGCAGGCAGCCCCTGCCGCGCTAAGTAATGAGCACAATTCCGACACCAGTTCTGCTAGCTCGTGAGAAATCAAAGCCCGGTATTAGAGGCCATTTCCGACTGGGCGCCATTCGTGCCCAAATCCATCAAAGCCCGGGGCTCGGGGTTCCCCTGGGGAAGGTGGGGGCTGGAGGCTTTGTTAAGCAAGAGCGCTGTCCACCCCCAGCCTCCCAGCTGAGGCGACTGTGCAGCCCCAGAAAGCCCCAGGCCAGCCAGTCCTGTCTTTCTCCTGCTCCCCGAAACCCCTGCCCCCAGCAACCCCGGTATTCATTCCCACTCCCGTGGCCCTGCTGCTACAAAAACAGCTTCCCAAGCCATTTACAGAGACTTCACCCTACCCTTCAATCAACTCCCTTCAAACACCCTGAGACCAGAAACCAACACCCCAGCCCAGCGCCTCCCACATCCCACTGCACTCTCTGTAACAAGGCTGGTCATTCAGCAGCCTGCCTGCCCCCCAGCCCCATCATTGCCTCCCAACTTCAAAACACTGCTTCAAATGCCAGAGTCTGCTCAAATCATAATTAACTCGGATCAAATGATTGTGTCGTAACTTTACAACACCGGGTTTGGGGGGGGGGGGGTGAAGGAGAACAGGGAGTGGGGGGGGGGGAGGGATAGCTAAAACCAAGCCCTTATTTCTGGGCCGTGGGAATCATTCATTCCAAACTGAGGGATTAATTCCAAAGTGAGGAACCTCTGCCTATTGGCTGCGGGAAAGGGGACAGATGTCCACATCCCAGTGGAAGGTGGAGGAGGGAGGGCTTCGTCCTCTCATCCACTTTCTGCACCAACTTTCCTGCCCTCTTCTCAGCCTCAACTCAGAGGGCTCCGTACAGGATGTCCCCCCATATCCACCCCGTCCCCGTCCCCCTCCCACTCCGCCCAGGAGCGGAGGCGCCTGCGGGTCTCCGCGCCCGAGAGGCTGGCCCCGCGCGGCCGCTGACTCTCTCTCTGGTAAGACGCAGCCCAGGCAGGGACGCTGGGCCCAGCTACAGGGGAGCAAGACATGTGCTCATCCATGATGGAATGGGTGGAAACAGGGACTTTATTTTAGAAGCCCACAACCCCCTTAAGGCACCTTGCTGGGTCCAAAGTAGGAGTGGTACCCAGGCGAATGCACCTCATCTCCCCAGGCAGGCAAAATGTCAGTGACCCATTTAAAAGGAAACTCGGCAGGATCCTTACACACACACACACACACACACACACACACACCAACAACAACTACAATAGCAACACCCAGAAAAAAAACCCTTCCAGACCCGTGGGTCTCACAATCTCGGGAAAGCCCTAAGCACCCTACCCATTTCTACAGCCAAAGCCTTTCCAGCCTGCCACCACCTCGGCCGGCGGAGCGGACCCGCGCTCCCAGCGCTCAGATGGCGAGCCGGGACCCGGGCTAGGAAGTTGCCGGCGAAATGCAAGCGAGCGACCGTTCTTCCCAAGCGGCGGCTCCACCGGGCGCGCGGAGAGCCAGGAGGGCCCACGAGGCGGGTCCTCCCGGAGCGCAGACCCTCACTCGTACACCCGATCCAAAAAAAAAAAAAAAAAAAAAAAAAAAGCCATCTCTTCCAGGAGCAAGCAGGAGGCTTCCGGCTTACTTTGAACCCCACCGTCTGCGCCCCCTTCCTCCCCACCCAACGAGGTGGCGGGGCCGCCGCCCACTTCGGTGGGGCAGAGACATCCACCTCCTAACTTGGCTGCCCAAGCCACTTTCCCGGGGCGCACCTACGGCGGCAACCGACCACCCCAATTTCGGACCAGAGTGAGAAGCAAGGGTCTCCTGCACCCCCCTTCCCATCCCCCAGCTCCCCACCCCGTGCCCGGTCGCTCCGCTCCTTACCTGCTAGGCTCAGCCTCGCGTCCCAGCAGAGCAGCAGCGCCAGCAGCAGCGCGCCCCGCGCTCCGCTCGGGGACCACATGCTCCCGCGGCCCGGCTCGGGCGCCTCTCCCCCGGGCTTCTCCGTCTGGCCCCAGCCTCGCCGCCGCCGCCTCCGCCGCCGCCGCCGCCTCCACGCCGTCCTCCCCGGCGCCCGGCCGCGCCAGCCCGCGCCCTCCGTGGGGGCAGCGGCAGCCACGCTGCACGGAGGGCCGCCCGGTGCTCCGAGTGCGAAGGGTGCTCGGCGCCCGCTCCGGAGCCCGGCTCCGGCGCGCCCCTCTCCTCTCTCTGCGCTCCTCTCTGCGCTCCTGGGGCTCCCGGGCTCCGGGCGCTCCCCGGACTCCCACCCCCGGGCTCCGAAGTTGCGCGGCCGAAGTAGAGAGCGCTCAGCCGCACCGTCCGAGCCCCCGGGTGGTGCGCCTCCCTGCGCCCCGCCGCCGCCCGCGGCTCCGGCTCCGGCGGCCTCCCCGGTGCCCGCCGCCAGCCACAATGCCGAGCGCTGCGGCTCGCGAGCCCCGGTGAGTCCGAAAGTGGAGGGAGGTGTTCCGAGCGCCGCGGGGCGGGGCCTGGGCGGGAGTGGGCGGAGCCGGCGGAGGGCCGTTCTTGGGGGGGATCCGACGGCCACCGGGGCGGGTTCCAGGCACTGGGGAACTTCAAGGGGGACCTCGCGAGACGCTGTGCCCGGCGCATTGGGAAAACCCGGCTGCTGGATTATAGCTAGGAGCGGATTCTGCTCAAGTTTCTTCTCCGAAAACTAAGGAAATGCACCTTTATGCTCTCCTTTGGCTTGGCTATGTCAGCTTTCTTCTCTGAACGCAAGACTTTCATTTTTTAGTTCTCTGGTGCTTATGAACCTCTGTGCTTTCTACATATGGGAGGGGGGCGGGGAAAGAGGGGGTGTCTTTCCAAAAAGGCTTCACAAATGAGAAAAACTCACACCCAAGTCCTAGTTAAGCTGGGGCTTACAGCTATGTGAACTTGGGCACAGACCTGGATCATCCTGGTATGAACCTGGGCAGAACTGTTTCCCGATCTCTGAGCCTTCCTCAGTACTCAGGTCTTAGGATGTTAGAAGCCCAACCCCAACCCCCCACCCCTGAGGTGACAGAGGGCAGAGGGGGGAGGGCAGCCAATTTTTGGCTTTAGTGTAAACTTGGGCTCTGCCCCTTACCTGCTGTGTGACCTTGAACAAGTTACTTAACCATTTGATGCCTTTTGTCACTATCTGTAAAATGGAAAATAATGATAACAGCTATTTTACAAGGGGACATAGAATAGAATTTTTTAAAAAAAAAATATATATATATGGATATTGCAGTACAAATGTCAGGATCTCCCCTCCCAGCCAGTCTGGTTTCTGGAGGGAAGTCCTGACCACCCAAGGGTGGGGTAAGGGTCACATGGGACTAGGTGGAGTTTGGGGATGGGTGTCTTGAGATTGAAACCCCGAGAACCAGAAAGGATAGGTGAGCAGAGACCTTCTAGGTGCCAGGCATGGGATGCTAGGCTTGCACTTGATATGCATTGCCTCAGGGAATCCTCACAATTCTCTGAGGGAAGCACCTTTTGTGTCCCCATTTTACAGATGAAGGAACTGAATGAAGCACAGAGATGTAAAGTCACTTGCTCAAGAATGCACAGCATAGAGTGAATAAATGAGTGAATGAATGAAAGGGGCAGGAGAGATGGGATTGTAGAGAAGTCCTCAGGTATTGGATTGGCAGTGAGAAGGGGCTGGCAGCCAGCGGACTCCCTCTTCCACCAGGCCCTAGTCTATTCACTACTGGGGATTTTCCTGGAACTGGGATCTAGAATCGCTCCTCAAATACAGATGCAGTGCACTGCTTCGGGAGGGATGAAGGAAGTCAGAAAGAGGGCCTGGCAGGCCCAGGAGCCAGGAGAGGACGTGCTGGAATAGGGCCGAGGGTCCCCAGGGGTGCTTCCTCGGTTGCAGGAGAAGGACTTGGGGCCAGACCTGCAGGTGGGAAGGGGACTTTGTGGGGGCAGAGAAGCAACAAGGGCTTGCTCCAGCTGCTCCCCAAAGGAGAGATAAAGGACTTCCCAGTACTCCCTTCCCTCCATAACACTCCCCCAACATGTGGGGGTCTGGAGTATTTGGGGGAGGCTGTATCTAATCAGTCCACCTCCCCAGCCCTCTCTGGCTGGGCATCCAGGGTCAGGAGGGTGGATATGGGTAGAGTGGGACTCCCTAGGAAAGAACTGTGGCAAACTGGGTGACGATAGGTGGGTTATATTTAGCTTGGCTCAGGACAGCCCAGGCAAGGGCAGTGAATGAGAGAGTCAAAGCTTATTTTACCCAGCCAGCTCCACTTATACACATAACTACATGCACCTATATACACCCAAATAGGGACACAGTTACAGGGCACACCTGGCTGACACACACCAACAAGGTGCACACAATCAGACATACAACAAAGACTCACAGGTGCACAATGACTTCCCCAGAAACATCAATGTACAAACAGGAACCCAACTGTGGAGACAACCACATGCCCAAAATACAGGACTCAGAAAAGCACACACACATGCCTCACCACAGACAAACACATACACCGACACCCCCGGAAGCACAAATATACTCCTAGGCAGAAGACACTAAAGACAGATAGGTATTTAGATACTTAGTATCACCAGGAAACACATTTAGGGACTCAGGTACCAAGACCCACATCGGCCTGTCAACCCCTGTGTGTAGGCATATGGTCAAGGACACTCTACTGGATAACTCAGCAAGGACCTGAGCAGAGGACCTGGCCTGCATCCTCTCTCTCTCTCTCTCTCTCTCTCTCTCTCTCTCTCTCTCAGTCAGAAGGCCAGTGGGATGTTGGAGATTCCAGCCCCATTCAGGCAGTAATTGCACCAGGCAGGCCTCTAGTCTAAGTGTCAGGTTTCATGACTTTGTTTAATTTCTGGCTGGAGAGATGGGGGTGGGGGTTGGGGGGGGGGGTAAGGGTGGGGGATGAGGGGAAGTGCAAGCAAAGGGAGAGTGGTCCTTTGACCCCTCTCCTGCTGGTCCATGCACCACTTCCCAGCCTAAAAACTCTTTCAGTTCTTGAAATATACCCATGGGAGGTCCCAGACCCTGTTTTCCCTCCAGGACTCCAGCATTCCACACTGAGGATCTCTCCATAACTCCCCTGCACCCCCTCCCATGCCGTGCAAGTGCCTAGGATGTGCCCCTTTCTCAGCCACCTGCAGCTAAGCATCCACTGAAGATGGGATTCCTCTGCAGCCTGGGCATCTATCTCCTGGGTCCAGAAAGAGGACTGTAGCCCTGAGCACACACCTTTACCTGGGATGAGTGAAGGACAGACAAGGCCCCAGTCTGGGATATTACCTTGGAGTGGCTGATTAAGACTTACACCAGGGTACTCCCACGCCCAGAACCACGGGACTCACAGCAAAGGGTCCTGCTGTGGGTTAAGAAAAAGGGTCATGCAGTGAGCTGCTTGGAGGCAGAGGTCCACTCCCTTTCTTGTTTACTATTGAACAAGCAGCACCTAACACAGTATCCTGCACATAGTAGGCACCCTTTAGTATTGGTTGAATGGACACATCAGTGAGATTGGGGAGAGAGAGGTTATTGGTCAAAGGGCTTACAGCCTTGCCAAGTAAGCCCTACATGGAGCCTCCCTCCTCCCCTCCATCTCCTGGATGACGGGGGAGGGGTTGGGGGTAAAAGAAGAGAGGGCATCATCTAGGCTGGAGGCTGGAGGCTGGAGGCTGGAGTGGGGAAGCCTGTGTACAATATAGCTGCTTCAAAATCAGCCACAAAGCCAGTTTTGGCAATTAGAGGGTGCTGCAAATGCTTCCACAGGCTCCCTCATTTCTCGAAAACCGGAAGAGTGTGTGAGAGCCAGAGTTCAGAAATCAGAGCTGATGGATGCTCTAACCTGCTGGGAGACCTTGGGCTGGCATCAGCTTCCAACCATCAGCTTCCTCAGCCTTAAAATGCGAACAATAACTAGCTCATAGGACTATAAAGAATATACAGAAATCCCCTGCTCTGGCCAAAGACAAACTACCAATGAAGATTTAGAGGCAGCTGTGGGGTTCCCTGCACGCACAGTTGACGGCTTTGGGAGGGGCCTTCCCCTGCGGCCAGTACCCATGTGCTCACGGGGGCCACTAGGCGGCGCGCTGCAGCTCACACCTCCGGCGGCTTCAGCCTCTTTCCCCAGCCTGGGGACCGGAAGGCTTCCCTGGAGTGGACCTCAGCCCCAGGACTGGCATGAAGAGGAGCCTCCCAGACAGCTGGGTTTGCAGGATCTTGGGTGGGAAGGTTTGGGGATGAGTTCACAATCCGCTGCGCTCCCCACCCAACACGATCCCGTTCAGCATGAATTCCAAACACCCGGACTCCGGGTGGGGGGAAATGGGGGGACGGGGGAGGGGGGGGGGGAAGGCATGTGGGGTTAAGTCCTTGCCGCTCTGCCACCTCTTTGTAACAATATTATTCTAGGTGATGCTGAGTGCTGTCTGTATACAGACACTCTCCCGGTCCTTCACGTGCTGACGACAACCTGATGAGATAGCTGTTATCACTCCTGTTTACCAGATGAGGAAACTGAGGCACGGAGAGGTAACTTGCCCAAGGTCACATACAGCTAGTAGTGGCACAGTGCCGACAGACTGGATCTCAAGTTTGTACTTTTATTTTTAATTGAGACAAATTTTAACTATTTTAAAGTATACAATTCCGTGTTTTTTAGTATATTCATGATGCTGTGCAGCCATCACTACTATCTAATTTGATAGCATTTCATCACCCCCAAAAGAAACCCCGTACCGTTAAACAGTCACTCCCCATCCCCTCTTCTCCAAGAATCTACTTTTTGTCTCTAAGGCTTTGCCTGTTCTGGGAATTTCATATAAATGGAATCATACTCTGTGTGACCTGGGCCATCAAGCGTGGAATCATAACTTCTACTAAATACTGTGACAACTTCTTCCTCCCACCTCCCCGCCCCACCCCCACCCCCCCATACACAGAGTTCAAGGGCCATGTAGATCCAGGTA